TGGGAACCCGTTCTTTTGTGAAGTGTCACCTTAGAAATGTATTTCTTTGGTAAAACATGGTTGTGTACTGTAATTATGACACTTGATAGCATTTTGATGTAAATTGAGACTACTTTGATATTTGATGTTGAATGGTAAATGAAGTTATATTTTCCTTGAGAAATTATTGATACTTCTTTTAACTATGTAATGTTATGTACTATTGCCGTGAATTTGGAATTGGTTACATATCAAGTTTTCTCACAAGTTGGCTTACAAGGAGCCTAGCATTTATGATGTTATTAGCTGCAGATAGCAGCACTCCAGGGCCTGTCGGCTGGCTGACAGTGCAAGTTTAGGTTTTCCAGAGAGTTGAGTTCTGGGAAGCATCGTTTCGACCGACCGAACTTCACTATCGATTGACCGAAACCCCATCATCAGTCGGCCGACACCCCATCTCCAGCTGGCTGACAGTTCATTTTGAGAAAATCCTGAGAGCATGTAAATTGAGTAATCGCTTCAGCCGGTTGATCATCTCTATCAGCCAACCGATTATGTACTTTCAGCAGGCTGACGAAGGCCATCTACTGGCTGACCATGTCCCTTTGACTTGTATCTTTGATTCCCTCCCTCCAGACTGTGTTTTTGATTACCATGGACTTTATAATGATTTTGTGTATCACCCATGAGCACAGGAAAGGATGGTATTGCCCTTAGTTGACCTCGAGTTTGAGTAAGAACCCGGTTAATAGTTTATGAATGTTATAAAAAGTAATAAAAAAAGAAAAGAAAAATAATAATTTATGAAACATATATTTTAAGACGTTTCAAAATACAAAGATGAATAAGTATTTTGAGACTGAGGGAGTAGAAATTAATTTTTTTTTAAAATTTTTTTAATAAAGAATAGTAGCGTCATAATATTAAGGATTCTGAACATATATATATATATATATATATATATATATATAGAGAGAGAGAGAGAGAGAATTTTAGAACGAGAACTCCGTTCCTTATCTTTATTTGGTGTACCTATTTGAGTCGGATGAAAGGAAACTTTCACGTCCGATTTTGCGAGGGTAGATCCGATAGGATCCTATCCCAATTTTTCTTTTGCTAGGCCCATAGCTAAAAAAACCCACTTTCTTACGATTACGAGGTTCATTCGAATATGAAATCCAATCCTGGAATTAATATAACATCTCGCTTTTTTTTACTACCCAAGGCTTTAATACATTTCGAAATCGAGGGTTTTTCTTTTTTGGAATTAACCATTTTCTTTCTTTACGTATGTATGTATGTGTGTGTATATATATATATATATACATACACTCCATATAGCAAAAAGTATTTTGAAGGTGTTGCTAAAAGTGAATACTGGAAAGTAAACTCGAAGTTAGAGGAGCCACTTGAAAGCGTCTTAATCATTATTTTTATTTATTGCATAAATTGAAAGGTTTTAGTGATATTTTCTTTTTCTTAAATTAGAATTCCAAGAAACACAATTTCATGATCAACAAGTGATCGACTCATGGTATTAGTACCGACATGCAAGTAGCCTAGCGGTATCAAATCCTTACTTTTCAAAGTGACCCATGGTGGGGTGGGTGGCACCATTCAACATCTAATCATTTTAATGTCCCGTTCAGTTATAAGCCCACACGCTATTGGACTCGGCAGTTTTAGTGATATTTGATATAATATCGTTGTCTAATGTAGAAATTAGTTGTTTTAAGTCGGGTTTGTTTTTAGTAATGTTATGAAAGCAGAATTGTAAATGAACGGAGTCGAAATGAGCTTTCAACTGTTTGTGCTTATGCAAACCTGACTCATTTAGTCAACTTTGACCCTGATCTTTAGCTTGAGATCAATTGTTCTCCGTTTGGTTGAAGGGGTGAAAAAATGTGGTTTAATGTTCTCCGTTTAATACACATAGACATACATCAATAACACAAGAAATAGAGACAAACACATGAACATCTATTCTAGCATACATAGACATATAGATAGAATGAAATGATCAATTGGAAGCATTAAGCCACATAAATCATTGAATAAACAAGATCTATATATATAAAAGTGCTAAAACATGTATTAAAACACTAATCCCTCAATAATACACAAAATCAAGATGTAGAAAACATGCTTGGGTCTAACTCTAGCCCCAAGAGGACGTCTAGCCACTCATGGTAGTGTGTCTCCAACCCTCAAGGGCTAACTCCATGGTAGAGATTTGCTCCTCGGTTGATGAAAAGTCTCCAATGGTGTCTCTAGCCTCTTCCTCCTCTAAGCTTGCTCTCCAAGAGTTCTTCAAGGTATGAGATGATATGATATGGTATATTGTGTTCTCATGTAAAAAGTAATCCATATCCTTATATAGGTAGATCAAATGACACACAAAATGAGCTGGGGTCGTGCACAAAATATTCCCCAATGATTGGATAAAGGACAACTTTGTGTGAGCTGAAATTTTAACTTTTTCGCACTAGAGGAAGTTCGATCGATCGAACCTTGGACTTGGATCGATCGAACATGGCTGAGATCCATCAAACTTAGGCTGGATCGATCCTCAATGGTAGTGCTTTTTGGATAAAGACAAATCTGAGATATTTTGAAGATATTTTTGGGAAAAGGACAAAAGTGGTTGGTAGGGTAGTACAACTAGATAAGATCAATCATTTGGATAAGGACAAGTCAGTTCGATCGATCGAACTTTTGAGGTCTCTGAAAATGTCATCATGGCTCTGATCCATCTTGAAGTGCTGAGATCGATCATGTTGGATCGATCGAACTTTGATCTGAGATCGATCGAAGATGTTGACTTCCACCTTTTTCTTCCTTTTGCTTCCACTTGGCTCCTTTCTTTGATTCATCCCAGAATTGCTTAATTTCTGCTCTTATTTGGTTGAGTGAGCTTATTTTCGAGTAAGTGCCTAAAAATGGAAATAATATGAAATCAATCTAAAACGGTAAAGTAAGATAGATAAAGGTACTATAATGCCTAAGCTTAAGGGGTTTAAATACGCACTTTTCAGCACTCATCACACCCCCAAACTTAAATATTGTTAGTCCCTAACAATGAACTAGAAAGTAAAGGAATGAAATGAACAATTATATAAGTATGAACTATAAAACAATAAATGGATAACGCCACTTTTGTAGGGAACACGATTGCACTTAGCATATGCAACAAGCCTTTTAAACCCCTAGGTTACCCCTAGTGGACGAGTGAAGTCTAGTGAGGGTTTTCAAAAATGATACCCACAAACATTAAGCTCATTCTCACAAAAGAGACACCAATATTGCAAGCAAGCATTGGGAGAAAACTACCTCAAGTTTGTAATTTTTTAAACATTTCTAAGCAATCTCCCAAAATTTTAACATCAAGTAAGCAAGTATGGTCCTCCACACATCAAGAAAATGATCATGCAAATCAAAACAACTCTAGAATCCTTTTGAGTGGACCGGCATCAAATGTGTTACTATCTTAGCCAACTATAAAATTAATCACATCCTTACCCTCAAACTAGCACACAAATTTAGTACCGATCATCAAGACAAAAAGTGGACCTTTTATTAAAGCTTTATTGTTCTAGGTGCGCTTTTTATTTATTTTTATTTTTTAGGATCAAAGATAGAAGCATAGTGCAATGTGTTGATCTATTAAGCTTTCTAGCGATTCATGAGGTCGAGCGTTAGGTCAATGACTCCCAAACCAGATGGCTTTAGGACATTAGGTGTTCAAACACCCTTACAAACTTACAAGCTTAAATCAACTAGGCTACAAATTAAAACAACCTCCATCTAATCATTTCCCACTTCTCACCTTTTGAGAGAAATCCTCACTTTTTTTTATTACTTTTGCAACTTTTCCTTTTTATTTATTTATTTATTTATTTATTATTATTATTTTTTTTCTTTTTGAAAAGTTTATTTATTAACCTAGAGTTTGGGCTCTCCACGTTTCGGCGTGTGAAGTTCAATGCTTGATGAGGCTAGAATCCAGGCTACTTAGTGAAAATAGGTTTTTATCCACCTTTATCAAGAATGAAAGTTTTCAATGCACTACTAGCCCAATTGGGATATAACCAATTCAATAATTAACAAAGTATCTACCCCACAAATGAATACTAGTATGCGCCGGTGCCAGTGTAGAATGCTAAAGTGAATCTCAAAACAATCACAAAATCAAGATGATGTGGACTGTAATGACCCGGTCATTTTCTTCCTTTTCCCTTTTTCTTCAAATTTTGCGGATAAATTTTTTTTTCATTATCTTTTCCTTTTCGGGTTCGATTTCCCGCCTCTTAGTGTAGTCTCGAGTGCTCAGAAATGGTTTTTGAGACTCTTTCCTTTGGATTGACAACTTCCTTTGAGGACCGAGTTATTTTCACATTTTTTTGTTTTTTGACACTATTCATTTTTCGTCTTTTCCTTATTTCGTCCTCTTCTCGTTTTTCACTTTTACCTGCATAACCTCATTTTTTGTGCTCGGATTTTATTCCGATTTTGTATACGTTCATGATATTTAAATTCCATGACATCTACATTTTTACTTTTGTAGAAATGCATATTAAATGCTTACTTTCTTTGTAAAAGCCATGAAAATAAGACTTTTTGCAATTACCCATAACTTGAGGGGTTTTTGGGTAATTAAGTAAAGTAATTATTTTTCGTCTTAGGGACCATTTTGCAAATTAAATTGGAAGATATTTTCAAAAAGGACCTTTTTGCAATTTTTGAAAAATGTGACAAGTGTCACATTCCTATGGTGCCACTTGTTGATTTTGTGGTGGAACCACTTGGAGGCTTAATCTCATGACACATGGAAGTTGGAGATTCACCCACTTGTTATCCTAGGATTGGTGCACTTGTTGGTTTGGATGGTTGACAAGGGTAAGTGTGGGATTAAGCCTAGGAAGGAGCCATGGATTGGTGACAAGTGTAGGACTCACCTTTAGTCTTGCATTAGTGTGTGTGTGAGAGGTAGTGTAAGAGCACCTAGTGAGTCGAGAAGCCCACCAATTTAGCTTAGGGTTTACACATTTTAATTCATTCATCACTTTCCTCTCAAGAACCCTAAGGAAGCCACCATTGGAGAAAAGCTTGACTAGTAGCTTTGACTTCATTTTTGGTGCCTTTTCACTCACCTTAGAACTTTGAACTTGGAATACTCTTTATTCCCCTCATCCTCCTCTTCAAAACCCTTGAAGGATCTAGCCTAACTCCTAGTTTTGCTTTGCTATGTAGAGATTCAATTCTCTAGTGAGGTATTGATCTATTATTTTGAAGTATTTTTATGTCATTATTTAGTATTTTACATGCATGAAAGAGAAGGACTTGTATTTTGCCCTTAAACTGTTTTAACTTGAAATTAATCTTGTCAAACTAAATATAGAATATGAAAATATACTCAATTAGCTTTCATTTAGTTTTGGTTTCATGTAATTTAGATTTAAAATGAATTAGTTATGAATTTTTGAAGTTGTAAGCTAGTTGCTGGAAATTTGAAGCTTTTCCTTTTTGGTCCGGAAATGAATTTTTATATAGAGCTGTGGTACTTCAATTGCCTTGAAATTTTTACTGGAACTTCCCTCATGGGTTCTACACTACTTAGAATTTTTTCATAATTTTAGAGCATTTCTAAATTTTTTTAAAAATCCGAAACTATCTGCAGTCCATGTTTTTATTGCAGCTAGAAAACATATATTTAGATGATTTATTTCACTAACCTTTTGACATTGGATCATGGCTTAAATTTCCATTTTTATACTCTCATATGTTTACTTCCAAAATAAATTAGGTTTTCCCAATTTGGATGTCAAATGAATTTTTCATGAATTTTCAAAGTTGGAAGCTACAGGCTGAAAATGTGTTTTCTGGGCAGAATTTGTTTCAAAGTTGTGGGGCAAAACTGTTTCAATTGGGAAAATATTTTGTTAAACTAAATTGATATTATCAAATTACAGTGTTTAAGCTTTCATTGGGCTTTGGATTCATTCAATTTGGGTTAGAATTGAATTTTTTATGAATTTTACAAGTTGAAGGTAGCAAGCTGAAAAATCTGTTTTGCGGACTGAAAATTTGGGGCGATTTCATTTCAGTGGTAATTAGGATTTTCATTCCAATTGAGGTAAGGAATGTTTTAGGATTATTTGTGTGTTGTATTGTGTATTTGTCATGATTATACAACATATATGTATGCCTTGTATCAAATTTAGAAAGTTAGTAAATTTTATTTCTTTGTATAAGATTTAAAATTTATGATGATGTATAACTTTGATTTGAATTATAACATGCTAGGAAATTATGCTTAGATATGTTGGTTAACATATATTAAATTTGGATCATTTGATTAAGAATTACAACTTTTATTTAATATTTATCTTTAGTGAAAGTTTAATTCACATGGTTGTATCAAGCATTAAATCAAGTTGTAATGTGGTATTTAAATAGGCCTTGGCATGTTCTCTAACATAGATTAAATTGAGGGCATTTGGAATTGTTTAAAAATCTAGAGGAAATTAATCAATTAGCTTGATTAATTTTGTTTTAAGTGTTTTAATCACTTAACTTGTCATTTGATGTTATATATATGATGACTATGACATGTCTTTCAATATATATTAAATTGAGGTTATTTGGATTAACTTGGAATTTAGAGAATTTAACTATTTATGTTTAATTAAATTCTACTTTATTACTCCATGGATTTAATTACATTTTGGAAGTTGTTTCTATATTTAAATCATGGATTTGGATTTGATGTATGTTCACTTGATTACTTTTGAGCATTGGATAACATAGTTGTTACTTTTATATTCATGAGAATATGTTTTTCCTTATTGAATATATTGTTGCTATGTATAAGGAATTGCACACTTTGTATTTGACATCTTACATGCCATAGTAGTTGTGAATTTTGAGCATGTATTGTATAAGTTTCCAAAATTTGGATTGTGCTTGGTAAATAGTTGATATCTTATATATACATGTTGATATATATACGTTGTTGCACAATTTGTTGATTTTGGAAACTTGGGGATGTCGTTGTTTGGCTACGACTAGGACTTAGTTCTGGTACGGGGGATTGTCCCTCTATATAGTCTAGTGCGCACATAGAGAGGTTACCCATGGGCTAGTAACCCTAAAGTAACTATGTTGTCGGTCTGATCCGGCATGACGTCTGAGTATCCACTTTGTTTGATTTCGTATTTCATTTCAAATTGATAACTAGATGATATCGTAACTTGTTTTTCCTTATTTGATTTCCTATTTTGAGCTTAAGATGTAGCTTTGTGAAAGCATGCTTCATGCGTTGTATTGGAAGTTCTATTATTGGTTAAATTGCATCAATATCATAATTTGTGTTTTGATGTTCAAATGTAGTTTAGGAATGACCTTATAGATTCATTTTGAACATAGACGTTAGGTGGCATGACCCACACTTGTTGTTTTCGTAATTTTGGATTTCAAGTTGAAGACTTTGAGAATCTATATTTTGTTGCCTTGTATAATATGTTTTCATGTTGTTTGAATTGCATGAACAATGTGATATGATAGAAATGATCTAGGTAGCTTAGGATGCTCCCTGGGTCTCATCTTGATATAGACGTTAGGTGGCATGAGCCCCTTTAACATGTTTCACCATAAGGTGATAAAATTGTAAAATGTTAGGTCAATGCATGCTCATCTCCTACGAGTAGCTTTATATTACTCACCCCTACGATACTGGGACATATTTCAGGTACAGGACTCAGGATTTGAAGATTCCATTGCTCCTTGGATGGCTCACAGTTTCTAAGTTTCTATTTTATGCAAGTGTTAGCATAAGATGCCTCTTTGTAGCCCTATTTGTTTAAACTTGTATTCGTTGATTCGTATATGTAAAGTGTATGTAAGTGCACTCTTTTCAATGTATTTAACATGTATGAGATGAGGCCGGAGGCCAATGACATGTATCTCGTTTCCTATGCACTTTTGTTTTTAAAGTTTATTATGAAAATATTGGAAAATGTTAAGTCATTGCTTCATAACTTTCGCATCAGGTGTTGGAATTTCATATCTTTTCTTCCCGGACTCAGAATCAGACGATTCTTAAGTCTAATTTTGTTCATTTTTCGTTGTCCTTCCAATGGTGTGCATGGTGGCACCCTTTTCAGTGAGAAATGACCATTTTGCCTTTAGTTCATCTCTTTCGGGTTAGGCATTCTTGCTTCATTTGCTTGGCTCATTTGAGTTCCATGGCTTCATGGAGAGTCATTTTGGGGCCTTAGGGATGACGTACATCTCTTGAGGTCATTGGCTTCTTTCGCTTTCGCATTTCGGGTCCATTATCGGGTCAAATTTCGGTTCATCACTAACGCACCGGGTTGAGAAATTCGGGTTGTTACATGGACCACAAGTGCAAGCAAAATATCAATCTTTCGAAAAATTTACTCCTAAATGGCATCCATAAGGCATACAAGGAGTATTGGACTCTCAAGTTAAGCAATTTTTAAATTTTAAGTAATATAATCCTCAAAAGATCAAAATCATAGCTAGATATGGACCAATCATAAAAAATCTCTCAAATACACAAGTCATGCTCAAAATTTTCAAGTTTAAAAGCAAACACTGTAACCTACACCGTTACCCTCAAACTTAAACGGCACAATGTCCTCAATGTGCAAAGAGAACAAAAGGAAAGAGTATACCGGTGCAATTAAGGCAAAGAATGGCTAGGACTGAAGTATCCAAAGTGGGTGGCATAGCCCCCCCAAACTTGGGATTAACTGTGGTCCTGAAATTAGGCACTCGGATAAACTCATCAGATAACAAAAAGGGATAATCAGTGCACAGTAGACATGCAAGTGTAAATGAAATAAAGCAGTGAGAGGGGTATAAGGGTGGTCTTGAAAATTGTGTAACATTCTCTCTCACTGTAGTCACTATGATGCACCTGATGGAGTCAAACAGACAGATATAAGAATATAACACATGACATCCATAACAAAAACATATATAAAGAAAATAAAGTACTGGATACATCAAAAGATCAAAGCCGACAGACCGGCTGCAAATAACATACAGTGATAAAAATGAAGTATAGAGCACGGAGGTGGAGTATAAAAAGATAAAAGAACTAAAAATCTCAGGTAGAGGAGGCAGGTCAGGCAGGGCGATCTCCGCGGATCTCCCTAGATAAGTCAGCAAGTACAGCCATGATCTCTGCACGGAAGGAAGCAATGTCAGCTCTAATGGCGAGCAGGGTATGCTCCAAAACTTGCATTTGTGCTTCAAGGCTAACTATTTGATCAAAAGCCTCAAATGCAGGTGGAGCAGAAGAATGGGCAGTCTGAGCTTGGGAGGACTCTGCAGGCTCCTGTGTCTAAACATACTTTTGTTTAGTCATGTCTTATAGAAAAGGAAAGCGAAACTTGCCAAGGGTGTTAATTCTAAAATAAAGAATTGAAAGCGCAAAACAGAGACATGCATGTCAAATGAGATAGAAAAACAGATAGATGACGTATATCTATACAAGTGACAGGATATGAAGCATGCTAAACAATGTAAGTATAAAATGCATCCAATGTGGAATATCACAGGCATTGGGCATATATGAGATAGCATTAACAAAATATATGATGAATGAAGTATGTGTATGAGATCTGTGAAGTTCAATCGATCATAAAAAGGTTTGAGATCGATCTCAAAACTTCGATCGATCTGAGAAATTTGAAAAACTGAGTTCGATCAATCTCTCAAGATCGATCTGAGATAAAAGTTTGATCGATCAAACTGTGCGAAGGTGAAAACTGAAAGGTCACAGATCTGTGACTGTGGAAGCACGGGGGCCACACAAATAGTGTCGTGGGCCCATCAACACAACAATTCTAGCCACTTTATAAAGCCCATACTCCCATAATTAATTCAAAACTCAAAAACATATAACCATAAATACATATATATACACATATATACAAACATGCTTCAACCTCATCAATGGAGGATATCATCAACAATATATTATGGATTCAACATTTAAAACATGTATTGAATAAGTGGAGGCTTGAAATCATGAGATGTGGCTCGGATCTTACCTCTAGTCATGAGAGAAAATGAGATAAAGATGGAGATGAGAATCTGAAATGAGAGATAAAGAATCAAAGCTTCGATCTCACCGGAGGTTCGCCGGAGAAGATGATGATGATGGGGCACAATGGTGACGGGAATGATGAGGGACAAGGTTTTGGAGGGTTGGATCGATCTAATGAATCGATCTTGAGACCCTCCAGGTCTATTTTTAAAAACATTTCCCGATTAGTTCGATCGATTGAACTGAGCTTTCAGATTGATCGAACTTTAATGATCTCTCTTCAAAGTATTTTTGGGATTTTTTTGAAAAATTAAAAACTAAAATTAAAAATTAAAAATTAAAATTGAAAATTAGAAAATATTTTTGGAGTTTTTGAAAAATAAAATAAAATAAAAATATTTTTGAATTTTTGAAAATTAAAAAGTCAAATAAAGTCAAACAAGGGTCAAAATAGAGAAGTGAAAAACTGAGATCGATCTGAACAAAATGTTCGATCGATCAAACAGAGAGCAAAAATATGCAGGTTTTTGGTTCAAAAATTTGGCTAAGTGTTAGAACTTGCAGATCGATCGAACTTTGAAGTTGGATCGATCGAAGAACTTCAGATCGATCTTGAATTATTTTCGATAGATGAGACAGAGAGCTGAATATGCAGGTTTATGCAGGCTCAAAATTTTTCTAAGTGTTAGATCACGAGATCGATCGAACTTTGAAGTTGGATCGATCTAAGGTCTTCTGATCAATCTGAGAATAAGTTCGAACGATGGGACAGAGAGGTGATTTGGATGCAGGTGGAAAATTTTTCTAAGTGTTGGATGCAAATGGAAGTTCGATCGATCGAACCCTCATTTGAGATCGATCGAACTTATGCAAAATGCTCGATCACAACATAAAAGTGCATACAATCCTAATCACAGTTCCTAGCAATGCATATGAACCCAAAGCCAATATCTAGACTTCGCAAGAAATGAAATTTAAGATAGAAATGGGGGAGGAATAGGGTTTTGACACCCTACGAAATGTCGTGCTAGTCTTTAACGTCTCTAGTAAGACATTGGGCTCTTTTAGCCCGGATCAAAGATCTTGTAATGTATCCATTCCTTGTTGGGGTGATAGATGCTTTGAACTCCACCCAATAAATGGTTCTTTGAAGAACTTATTGAATTTAGCTCAAAAGAAACTTTGGATCCCTTGTCAATGCAATCACAACCTTTGGGCTTCCATGCCCTTTCAAAGTAAGAATTTGAAACAACACTTTGAGAATGCACGGTTGAAGATGATCCCTTTGAAGTTTTGGTCTTACACAAAAACTCACTTCCTTGACATTGAAGATCATGACATTTGTCTACAATATTAACCACTCCTTCATATTTGTCAAATGAATTGGGTGTGGGATTGAAGATATTCAACTTCACCTTTATGTGGCCAAATGAGATCTTCATTATCCCCGTCTTACAATTAATGTTGGCATTAGCAGTTGCCAAGAAAGGACGGCCAAGGATAATGGGAATTTGGCTTTTAGGATGGGGGACCGGTTCCATATCAATGACAACGGAATTAACGGGGAAGAAGAATTTGTCAATCTTTATCAAAACATCCTCAATTATACCCCTAGGCTTCTTAATGGATCGGTCGGCAAGTTGTAAAACTACCGACGTCGGTTTCAATTCACCTAGGCCCAATTTGACATAAACCGAGTATGGAAGAAGGTTAACACTTGCTCCTAAGTCAATAAACGCCCGATTAATGATATGATCACCAATGATGCATGAAGTAGTAGGTGAACCGGGGTCCTTAAACTTTGGTAAAGTGTTATGTTGCAAAATTGAGCTTACTTGCTCGGTCAAAATCACTTTTCTCGGTGCTTGGCTCTTGTTCTTTCGCTTTTGGGTGCACAAGTCTTTCAAGAATTTGGAATAAGCCGGAATTTGCTTGATTGCATCCAAAAGTGGAAGATTGACTTTCACTTGCCTAAACATTTCCATGATTTCATTAGTTTTTGCCTTTTGCTTGTCTTTTGAAATGGATCATTTTAAGGCATCCAGAAATGGAACTTTTGGTTCAAAACTCTTTTCAAAAATTTTCTTTGGAGTCTCTTTAACATAAGAAGTTTTTAAATCACTTTGTTTCAAATCATTTTTCGACAAAACCTTTTTAAATTCATTTTTCGGAAAACCTTTCTTTAAATCATTTTCAAAATCATTTTTCAAATCGCATTTTGAAGTTTTCTCATTCACAAGATCATGTATATGCAATGAAAGAGGAATGGGATGTGAAACGGGATGGGTGACAACTTGAGGTTGCAATGGTTCACTCTCTTCATTGGACATTTCAACTTGATTGTCCACAATCCTACCACTCCATAAGGTAGTCACCGCATTAACATGCTCAATGGTGTGGCCTTCCGATGAGAAATGGGTTTCCACAACACATTGTTGCTTAGGTGGGGCATTAATATGCATCTTTCCCTTCTCTCTTGCATTAAGAGTACTTGCTATTTGCCCTACTTAGGTTTCTAGCTTTGCAATAAATTGAGAGTGGGAATGAAGCAATTGAGTGTTAGCCTCAAGAGTGCCCAAAGCATTCAAAACTTTTTCTTCAAAAGCAGGACTTCTAGCATTTCCTTGGGAATAAGATTGGTTGGGAAAATGAGTGTTAGCAAATTGATTCCCTTGTGATTGATAAGGTCTATAACCTTAGGATCCTTCGTTTTGAAGTGGAGGTGGAGTACTTCCCTTGAAAACCGCCTTGGGAAGGGTTTGAACCTTCTCCTTGGTTTTTCCAAGAGAAATTCGAATGATTCCTCCAACTTGGATTATAATGAGTACCATAAAGATTGTTCCCTTGGTTCACAAAAGCTGCATTGACTTGTTCATTTTGCACTTGTCCGTGAGGACAATGAGAAATAGAATGAAGAACACTAGAACAAGTCATACATGTTTCATTTG